GGGCGCACTGGAGAAGATTAACAACGAAGAGACAGCTGAGGAAAGAGATGAGATGTATCATCTCCCACTAGATGAAGATGGGATTCTCATGGTTCGACGGGTCCTAAAGAGTGGAGATACGAGGGATCTGCAATGACTTCGCCACAGCATATTCTACAAGTTGCACTGTGACCAAGAAGGTATGCAAATATTAGAGAAATTACAGCTTATGACTCAAAGGAAATTCCAGTCAGATACCCTACATAGCTGAAGGAGAACAGGGTCAGCATTGATCAGAGGTGCCTACTAGAATTCTCAATTGGAAGTCAGTTGCAGGATTAAGTGTGGTGCTATGTGGTCCCCATAGATGTTTGTCACCTTTTTGTTGGGAAGACCATGGCGATTTGACCATAAAACTCAACATGACGGATTTGAAAACACCAACTCTTTCACCAAGGGAGGAAAGCACGTCATCCTTCTTCCTTTGGTGGAGCCCGAGATTACAGAAGCCCTTGTCAGCCAAGCAGTGTCGGTGGGACCAGCTTTGGTGACGACGGAAGATGATTGGACTGAGACAACGATTCCAAGCATGGCATAGTCATCGCGAAGGACATGTTATGATATCACAATCAATAGCCTACCAACATGGACACCACCATTCAAGGAGGCTCATACCAGAACTTCATATCAGATTGAGCCAAACTTGGGCTATTTTGGGAGGATTCAACATTATATGCATGACTTGTAAGCCCGGGCCGGATCAGTAGTAAGCTCTCAAAAGATGTGACTGATATGGGTGTTTGCTTGCAAATGAGGAATGACCCTCAGGTGTCTTGGCATACGGTGCAATTGCCAGTGGGATCCACGCGCTTTTCAGACCGCAGTCGAAGGGCCTTCAATCCTGGAGATAAAAATAATGTCGTTATCAACAACGGGCAGTCAGAAGCTTCAACAAATGAGCTCAAAACACCCCCAACCTCAAGAGACTGACACATAACTTTCACGCTAAACTGGTCGGTTCGGCTAACTAATGGGCAAAAACTACGCCCCTTTCCCCCCTCCTGCCTATCTTATTATAAATATGTTGTTTATTGTTCTAGGGTTTAGTTTTTGCTAAGTTCTGTCCAAGCTATCTGTCGGCAATTACTTTCCCATCTATGGCTAATCCGAAGACAAGAAGGTGCTTTGTAACTCGCTCTAGTAGAAATAGTTATCCTTCCAACTTCCCCTTCCTTGCATGTTGCCACCCTAACTGACGAGTCAACCATCCCTATTCCCCAACGGCCTCCCTCCAACCACCTGCAACAACAAGCCACCCCAACCCCTTCTCTAATGTGTCATTACCCTCCTATCTCCTCAACCTGCTTCTTGTCTTTCCCCTACAGCCAAACCTGCAATCGCAAGCCACCCTAACCCTTTCCTGTTGTGTCGTAAACTCCCCTTACTTCCCCACCTACAGCCGAAGCCCCACTCTACCATACAACCCGCTGTCGTAAACCCCCTATATGTCGCCCACCTGCGACCGTGACACCTTACCATCCATTTTGCCCTTCCTGCTACAACTACCCCACCAGCTAGTATCCAGCCCACACCTACCAACATATCTACCTGCGAACCAGTCGCCACCCACCCCCTTTGTCGTCACCCTAGGGCGGTTTTTCATGTTTGCTATCATTTATATCATATTTCGATGAGTCGTCATTGTAACCTACTTGAATTTCAACAAAAATATTTATGTTTCAAGTGTGTTTTGGGTTAACTCCAGTATCATTAACACATTATCCTCTTAGTCTCAGTTTCTGAAGAAATAGAAAATTGTATAAAAATTATCTAGAGTAGCCAATAAGAAGCAGTAAACAAATTGCAATTCCCAGGCTATTGCCACACATATTTTGAAGCTTTAATTCCATCGCCCAACAAGCCGACTTAGGGAATCATCCACCCAAGCCATTAAGATATAACGAGAGAGCATCTCCCCTTTCACTTACAAATAATATTTTATAGGGGAATTCACATACATACCACATAACTTTCATGTATTCACATATCTAACACAAACTTTGGTATGTACTTGTATAACATCAAAATCTTTAAATCACATCAAATATACCGCTAATATCAACCCTTTTAAATTGAAATGCATGTTTTCATGCTTATGTTTTGAAGTGAATCCCTCTATATTAAAACAGAAACGTTGTTACTTCCTTTTTACATCAAGTATTACATATTAAACTCCTCAATGTTGAACTTAATCAATAAAGTTGAAGTATATTCTGATATAATTCGGATACATCGACATATTTGCAGAATTTTGTAAGCATCTGAAGGACTTTCATGAATTTAATAACAAAACCAAACATTTAAAACTGAATGATACAACAACAAAGAATAAATATCCAATTCCCTCATATAACACACACCAAAATATATTATAGAAAAGAAAAATTCCAAATAAAATTAGCAACCATTTAAAATATAGTTTATTTAAAAACACATAAAATCAAAAGAAATGATTATTTTAACTTTAAAACCAAAAAAATAAAAAATGAGCACGTAGAAAGGTCAATTCCTTTCACAAGTGTTACTTGACATAATATCTAAGCATTGCAGCTGATGAAGAAGAAGACAAGAAAGTGACAAATACTAGAGGGGAAAAGATAGAAGTGTGGCCAGCATTTTAGAGGATGGAAACAAGAAATCTCACAACCTCGTTCAACATTTAATTCATTTCAAGCAAGAGCCCTAATACTACACTAAAATTCCTATATAGAGTAGAGTGTATAATCAACGTCTAAGATACATTAATACTAATACAAAAAAATAATGTTCATGGACAAAAATAATAATAATAATTTTTTTAATAAAAATGGGCATGTCTGATGAAAATAATGATGGTAAAAATAATTTAAAATACAATTAAAAAACAAATATTAAATAGACTCATGAACAAAGATTAAAGAGACTTGCACTACATCTGCACAAAACATAGTTCCTAGCATACTGCTCGCAAATTCCTAACATCTTGCCACAAATCATACACATGCTCAGAATTTCTATTTTTACAGACTTGTTTTTGTACACAGATTTACTTACACAAGCATAACAATGTTATGGCTAAATAGATTTACAGTGATAAATGTATATAAGCGAACAACACATGTAGATAAAAATGGTAAATTTTGCTCAGTAAGAGAATAAAAAAAGAAACATACAAGTATTCAACAGCCATATTCACTTTACAAATTGTTAGCTGAAAAAAATAACATGAAGCGAATATGAAAAACAATGGCTACAACAACAACAAGTCTTTATCCCACTAAGTGGGATCAGCTGCATGAATACTTTTTCTCTATTGTGTTTTATTGAGTGTCATATTTTCATTTAATTCTAATAGATAAGATCATTTTTTATACAACATGCCCAAATACAACATGCCCAAGTCTTT